AGGGCAGTCATCTTGGTCTTGTAGTTGGCGAAGGACAGGCGGGCGTTACGAATACTTTTCCCGGCTTCTGCCGCATCTACCAGTACTTCTGCTCTTCTCTCTTTGAGGTCTTCCTTGATCGCATCTCTGCACTGCTTTGCGAGCTCGGACGTTAGCTTGCGGTTGCCTGAGGCATGCGCCAAACCACGCTGGCGAATTAGCTCAAGAGTTTTCGAAGATAGGCGACTTTTTGTGGCTATCTCTCTCTTGGCGTTCCTCGCACATTCATGGAGGTGCTGAACCAGTCGATCGTATTCCTCGTCAATGTTGTCAACAATGGCATCTTCCCATGTTGCCGCAATAGTACGAAAGAGTTCCCAGTTGGTGGTCATTCTGGGAGTTCTCTTTTTGAACTTTGCAGCCCTTTCTCCCCGCTCTGTGAAGTAGAATTTTGCACGAAGGAGACGGTGGTCCGATCCCGTTCGAAATTTTGGGACAACAGCGACATCAGTCAGGCAAAACCGTCGATTGAATATGATGTGGTCTATTTCGTTGTGGAATCGTCCACCGGGAGACTCCCATGTCCATCGTTTAGATTCTGCCTTCTGGAACTGTGAGTTGCCATGGATGGTCTTGGTCGACATGATGAACTCAGACAGTCTCTCACCCTGTTCGTTCCATTCTAGGCCATGGGTCCCGATGTGAAGTTCTTCAGCTGATCTTCTCGGTCCTATCTTGGCATTAAAATCACCCACAATGATCTTGTAGAAGGTGTGGTCTTCTTTATAGAACTTCTCTAGCTCCATGTAGAACTTCTCGATTTCTCCTTCATCATAATGAGATGTTGGTGCGTAGACAACGAAGATAGAAACTGCAGGCAGTGAGCCACATCTATTCAAATGTAAACGTCCGATTTGGGTTGTTAGGCATTCGAATGAATCAATGCTCTTGGCCAAGTTTGTGTTGACAAGGACACCGATGCCTCCAACACCTCTTTTATCGCATGTTCCGAGGAACAATTCTTCTCCAGTGTCGAAAACGGCGTGGTGAGATTCGTGCCTTCTTGTCTCGGTCAGACCAATGATGTCGTACTTGATCATTCGCGCTTGTACCATCAGGTCCTCGATGGATGCATCTGATGCTAGCGTACGTGCATTGAAAGTACAGACGATCATTTTTGTCTTCCTTCATTGTGGCAGCCTAGGTCGGCCTTGAGATTTTGTCGGCCTCTCCTTTCTCATCCTTCTCAGTGCTGCCATGTCGGTGAAGCCGTCAGGGTCAGGTGAATGAGACCAGTTGTAGTTACTGGGGGATCCCTAGCCAATCAGGGCATTCAAGCCCAATACACCAGGATCCTCCATGAGCTGTATTGCGGATTCACTACCAGGATCTCACCATTCTACAAAGAAGTGATCGTTGATGTCAAGAGAGGGGTGCGGCAGGGTGATACCATTTCACCGAAACTCTTCAGTGCCACCCTCGAGAACATCATGCGACGACTGGAATGGGAAGGAATGGGAGTGAAGATAGATGGTCGGCAACTACACCACCTCCGCTTTGCTGATGACATTGTTTTAATAACACCAAACATCAGCCAAGCGGCACAAATGCTAGCCGACTTTGACCGTGAGTGTGGAAAGGTAGGACTACAGCTGAATCTTACGAAGACAATGTTTATGAGAAACAGACTCGTTCCTGACGACCCATTCGCTCTCAACGGAATGACCATCTCCGAATGCAACAGCTATGTGTACCTAGGTCGAGAGGTCAACATGACAAATGACCTGGCACCCGAGCTGCGCAGGAGGAAGAGAGCGGCTTGGAACGCCTTCAAGAACGTCGAAGAAATAGCTAAGAGGACGAAGAACCTCCGGCTCCGGGCACATCTCTTTGATTCCACTGTTCTTCCTGCATTAACATATGCCTCAGAGACCTGGGCCCTACGCAAACAGGATGAGAATGCTATTCAGGTCTCCCAAAGAAGAATAGAAAGAGCTATGCTTGGAATATCACGTTTTACTCAAATGAGAGAAAGAATCCGGAGTTCTGACATCCGTCGACGATCAAGAATCAGGGACGCTGTCTCGTTTGCCAAGGTGTCGAAAATCAGATGGGCTGGTCACGTAATGAGATTTAAAGACGACCACTGGACTAGAGCTATTACTGACTGGATTCCACGGGATGTCAAAAGACCGCGTGGCCGCCCACCTACCAGATGGTCAGACTTCTTCGTCAAGATCATGAACGATCGGTTTGAGGCCCTTCATGTTCCCAGAGCGAACAGATGCCATTGGGCTACACTAGCACGCGACAGGGACAAATGGAGACGTTACTGGTGCCCGCTCGAGCAAATCGACGACTAACGGGAAGTTAAGTGATTAAGTGAATGTGGGGGATGAAATTATTTAAGCTTAAAATGAAGCATTGGGGCTGGAGTGATAGTACAGTGGGTAGGACGTTTGCCCTGCCCTGCGCCAGTCAACCTGGGTTCGATCTCTGAGCATCCCCGGGAGGAATTCCTGAGTGCAGAGCCAGGAGTAAGCCCCGAGTACTGCCGGGTGCGCCCCCAAAACAAATGAAAAGAGAAGTGATCTGAGGTCCAAGCACACTAGTATTCAAGGCCACATCAGTTCTAATAGCAAAAGGCTAGAACTTGGTTTTTACCAAGCCCTGGCATATTGATGAGGGAGGTATTGGTAAATGCATAACAGCGGGGACTGATAGCCACTAAAACATTTTTATGTGTTGAAGAAAGTGATGAAAGACATTATTAATTGAAAAATACAGAGACTATAAAATGGCATTTCTAAAATGTCTCTCTGTCGCTCTCTGTGTCTTTCTATCTCTTTGTCTCTCTGTCTCTGTCTCTCTTCTCTCTCTGTCTCTCCCTGTATCTGTGTTTCTCTGTGTCTCTGCCTATCTCTGTCTCTCTCTGTCTCTGTCTGTCTTCCCTCTGTCTCTCCCTGTCTCTGTGTCTCTCTGTCTCTGTCTCTTTCCCTGTCCTTCTCTGTCATTCCACTCCACCCTGACTTGGTTGAGTCCTTGTCAGCTTTTCTCCTCCTTACTTCATCTTCGTCTCTATTAAGGTTGTCTCTATTAAGATTTTGGTAAGAACTCAAAATCGCTCTTACTGTACACTTAATTTTTTTTTTCACATTTTCTTTAATGGCAAATAGCCTAAAAGTCTTCTCAGACGGGGGGTGGGGGAGGTTGTATCATGTTTTTGATGCGTCGTGACCAGCATAGAGCACAGACACCTCACACTAGCTCCCATGGAGAGGGAGGTCCGGAATCTCTGGGGGTTCCCCGAGGGCCGTGAACATGACCTGATGAAGGTTCAGTCATTCCCAGCACCCCTGTCCCCCAGGAGGAGGAGTGGCATAGGCCCGGATGCAGCGATGGGGAGGGAAGAGGCCCCGGGAGGAGGTGGACACGGGCCAGTCTGGCCCCGTGCTGGGACGAGAATGACCACAGAGACCGCCACCATGTCCAGGCAGCTAGCAAGGCTCCCTCGGGCTCCTCCTGGCTTTTCCTCCCCCAGACCCCACAGCACAGTGGACATGGGGAGTTCCGGACAGCGTTGGCTTCACTCACGTGAGTGCCCAAGACTCACACGCAGGCCGCTCAGGCTCACTCAGACCCCAGGACAGTGGCTGGACGCACAGCAGGGACGGCGCCCCGGGGGAGAAGGGCAGGTCACCAGCGCCTGAGGGGCATTCGGGAGAGAGACAGGGGTCTGCTCCTTCTGACCACGAAGCTGCCCTCACAAACCAGCCCTCCGCCTGCAGGGGACAAGGCCTCTGGCTGACCCTGCGGCCGGCCCCGGGAGAGCCTGTGCTCCAGCCCAGACAGCGCCGGGTGTGGGAAGCGCTTTGGCCCCTGGCAGCTTCCCCCGCGGCCCAGGGCCCGCCCGCGCCTGCTCGGCAGACTCACTCTCGGGCCGGGCGCTTCCTAATTAGATTTTCCACGAGCTTCTCTCCTCATCTATCAGCTCTTCCACCGCCTTCATCGTCCTCCTCCCGTGATCCTGCCCATTTGTCAAGCTGCCTGCGTCTGCGCTCAGCGTCTGCGGCCGCGCGAGGGTGATGGGGACTAATGGGGTGCTGTGTCTCTGGGCCCGTCGTTGGCTGGAGCCTCCTCCCGCGCGGCCCTCCTGCCCCTGCCGGCCTGCCTGGAGGACAGCGTCCATCACCCGCTGTGTCCAGAGAGGAAGAGTGTTCCATGCAAGGCGCTCTGGGACTTCTGGGGCGGTGGCTTTAGCCGTAGAACATTCTGGAAACCGAAGCTCCCCTGTGTGGAGTGCCTGAGAACGGGGAGGCCAGACTTCCCGAAACATTGACTGATTTCACAGCCGATTAACCCACAGCGTCCTTGATTGTGGTTCCAGTGACGGGGCAGGCGGTGGAACAGACCACTGGTCCCAGGGCGAATGGGGTGCGTGAGGGAGGCTGGGTGCCCACACAGCCTCGAGCCCAAGCGTGTTCCCTAGGCGGGACAGGGCAGGATGTGTGTAAGGGGAGAGGTCCGTTTCTGTGCCCCATGCCTGAGTCTTGCTGCAGACTCACAGGCTGTGCTGGGTCATGAGCGTGTACTGTGATGAGTTCCGCATACCCAACCCTCCTTCCAGCTGAGGCATCTGCACGGCTGCCTCTGCTGTTTAGGGGGTTCTGGGCAGTGCTGGTGGGGAGGGGGCTTGCATCCACTCAGCTGAAGGCTATGGACTGCCCGCTCCCTGTGGATAATGAAGGCCACCGGGGTAGCCCTGGCATCAGGGCGTGTCCATGCATGGCCCTGGGCAGACATTGCACTTTTTTTTTTTTTTTTTTTGCTTTTTGGGTCACACTCGGTGATGCGCAGGGGTTCCTCCTGGCTTTGCACTCAGGAATCACTCCTGGCGGTGCTCGGGGGACCATATGGGATGCTGGGAATAGAACCCGGGTCGGCCGTGTGCAAGGCAAACGCCCTACCCGCTGTGCTATTGCTCCAGCCCCACGTTGCACTTTTTTTTCCTCTCTCCCCAGGGCAGCCGCCGAGGTCCTGGCCCAGCTGCTGAGATCCAGTAAGCACGTTCGCGGGGTGGGTCTGCGCCTTGGGGGTCCAGGCATGTCCCCTTCCCACGTGGCTCCACTGGGGTGTGCTGGGATCTTTGGGGCAAGAGGGGGCAGTTGCCCTGGTCCCGGATCCACCTACCCACAGCTGAGAATTCCAGGTGGGCATCCTGGAGGCAGCACCCCGCAAAGACAGGGCAGGGATCCCTCAGGGACCCTCGGAGAACCCAGTGGCACCAAGCTCTGCTCTGGAACAAGAGTCCTGGCCGTGAGTGATGGGCTCCTCCGGCCATCTCGGTCCGGTGCGCAGGGCCCCTGGGGATTGGGTCTGTGACCACGTGGCCCTGAGAGGGATTGGCAGCCTCCTGGTTGTCCCAGCCGAGGCTCAGACTCTGCAGCCCCTAGACATTTCTGTCCTCTGCGTGTCCCCTGGGTCAGGCTATTCGGACCCGTTCCCGGGAGTGGGGGCCCTCCCCACCTCCTTCCAGGCAAACCATGGAGCTTCCCACCTGCGCAGCTAACACAGCAGCCTCTGCTGCGGCCAGTGTCCTCTCAGAAGTGCCACAGGGGGACCCAGCTGGCCCTCAGTCCCTGCAGTTCCCCCACCTACCAGGTGGCGGCGCTGCTGTCCCAGCAATGCCGGCCTGCCCGGGGCGGGGGGGGGGGGGTGGGGTGCGGAGGGGGGGCTATCTATTTGGTGTGAGTAATTTGTTTATCAGGAGGTTATTTTAATCCAATTTTGGCCGCATTGGCGATTCTGTGCTAGCTGTGCTCCCCAGCCTTGGCAGCGCCCAAATCTTGGGGGCGGGGGGGGGGGGGGGGGGGGAATCAGCTCACAGGAGACCCGGGACTTCCTCCTGGCAATGTGTGTGGGGGGATGTGGGCTCGGGCAGTGGCTGAGGGGCCAGAAGGCCCTGGTCTGTGGCATGTGGCACTGGCAGCCACCTGAGCTCAGCTACCCCAAGAGGCAGCTCCTGCCCTCCCTGAGCCCCCCAAGGGTCTGTGGTGTCCCCAGGGGCCAGCCTCTGTCCTCCCCTGAGCTATGCTGGGCCAGACACCCTCAGACACCCCCTGCCTGCCCCTTCTCAGCGGGTAAGGCACTAGGACTCTGAAGACGGAGGGTCTGCTCTGAGGGGGCCCGCCCACCCCAAACCCTCCCAGAACCGGCTGTCCTCGCCCTCCCGCCTCCCTGGAGCAGCATTCCCTGGAAGAACTCTCTAGAACACCCTCCTCCTGGTCGGACCCTTCCCCCGCTTCCCGGGGAGCAAGGGGGGGGGAGGGGGGCTTGTCAGGTGCTGTAAACAGAGCTGTTTGCTGAGGATTAGCAGGAAATCGGGGATAAGAGCTGGGAGATGGATAAGGGATTTTTCTCTGAGACAATTAACGATCCCCCCCACCCCTCCCCCCACCCCTGAAGGGAAAGAGGAGAGAGTGAAAGGTATGAGAAGGACATCCATGAGGACGCCTCATCTGCTGTCAAGGCAGACAGACCCCCAAAGCCCTGGCCCCAGAACTCGACTCTCATCCTCAAGGCCCCCAAATTCCTGATCCCCAAATACCCCAAATTGCTGGCCCCCAGGCCCCCAAATCCTGACCTCCTGGGCCCGGCTGCTTGTAAAGTCCCAGGTCAGCATTTTCCTAAGCTGGGAGGGTCCGGGGCAGGGAAACCGGCAGTGCAGCTGTGAGGAGACCTCCCCTGTGACTCCAGGCCCTGAGTTGCTGCTTCTGAGAAGGGGCAGTGGCCTGAATGCTTGGCGCCCTCCCCCTCCAGCCACCGCGCTGGCCTCAGACTGCAGGACTCACCCACAGGGGTCCCGGCTGCAGACGCCTCTGGAGGCCCAGAAGGGCCAGTCCTCCCACCCCTGGTAATGAGTGAGGGCCCCTCTGGGCTCCCTGGCGCTCCCTAGGGCTCCCTGGGGCTCCCTGGGCCTCTGGCTCTTTCCTTTCTGAGCTGCTACCTCTTCTGCTCAGTGTCTGCACTGACCTTGGCTTCTTCTGCTCATGGAGGGGACACTGGACACTTCCAGTCTGCCGTGATGCCTGCGAGTTCCTCTCATCTCTTAATTTGGGGCCCCCCCGCGCCCCACCCCCACCTGGGAACGTGGTTGGGACCCTCTAGAGGGGATGCCTGACGCTGGAGGGTCCTCTGTAGAGGGAACGCCTGAGGTTGGGACTCCTTCAGAGGGGCCGCCCGTGTCGTGGCCCCCAGCACTGCCGGATTCCAGACCCTGACCTGTCTGCTCTTTCCAGGGTCCAACAGCCGCCGGGCCGTGAACCGGGGCTCCGTGGCCGCCCTGCTCCAGCTGTACCAGGACTGGCATGAGCACGACCTGGCCGACGCCTTCGTGCCCATCCGCCGGGCGCTCCTGCTGTGTCTGCGGCACGTGACTGCCCTCCGCTCGGGCCGGGAGGCCTTGCAGGCGGCCCAGGGCCTGGAGCTGCTCTTCAGGACCACACAGGTAATACAGGGCTGGGCAGGACCCCCTTGCCGGGGCAGTTTCTAGCTCCTCACTGCACCCGCACTGACCACCCACAGGCACAGGGGCTCACAGGGGACCCTAAAGTGGGAGAAACGGGGTTTAAGTCTCTGTGCAGCAAAGGAGAACCCCAACCTCGCCCAGCCTCGAGGAGATGGTGTGGCCGGGTCCTTACTGAGGAGGGGGGCTTTGGGGGGACAGAAACCTGCTCTGGAAGATGTTCCAGGGGGTGCAGCCCAGATGGAGGGGGCTTTGGAAATGCTCGTGATGTGGGTGGGGGAAGAGGTGAGTGCCGGGCCCAGGGGAGACCCTTCAGACCATGACACTTGTCCCTCCACGTCCAGGGGGCAGCCAGCCTGGAACAGGTGGGGCAGGTGTGGCCCCTGGGCCCCCCTTCCCCCCTACACTTGATTTCTTGAGTTTCCACCCCAATAGCCAACTCCCCAGACCAGCCCTGTGCGGGGACCCTTGTCTCTGCCAGCTAACTCCTGTCCCTCTGTCCCTCCCAGGCCAGGCGCTGCCCACACAGGTGCTTGCGTGGGTGTGTGTGCAGGTTCGGATCTCATGCATGCTGTCTGACTTCACACTGAATCCATCCTGGTCACAGGGGGATGACCCGGCCCCTGGGCGTCCCAGAGCCTGATGAGATCCTCGCAGCTCTCACGGGAGAGGACTGTGGGCAGCGGGGTCACCATCATGTGTCTTCTCTGCAGACCTGCCTGGCCGAGAGCCGTGCGGAGCCGGTGGTGGCCATGGGGCTCCAGGTCCTCAGACAGTGTCACCCCAGGAGTCCCTTACCCCTGCCTACACCCTGCAGCGCTTATACCTTCTCGGGGCCTGGGAGCAGCCCCCCGGAACCCGCCCGGAGCCTCTCTGAAGGTAACAGACATGGAACTTGGGCACCCGGCAAGGTGGGGGCTCATGTCAAGGCAAACTCGGGGGGCAGTGACCTCAGCACTGGGCACACAAGCCCACGGGGTGGCCCCGCCAGCCGTTGAGACAGTGGGATGGGGGTGGGGGTGATTGGTTCTCTGTGGCCTGAGTAAACACCTGCTGGCCCTGCTGGCCTTAATTGTCCGTTGTGGCCACAGGGCTGTTGGACAGCACTGTGGTCATCGGAGCGAATCAGAAATCAAATCCCTTCCTGTCCCGCTGCACCAGTGGTGACTGTTCCAGAGTAAACCCACCTAGGGGTAAAGTGGGAACAGCTGTCCATGAGGATTCTGGGAAGCAGGGCTGTCCAGCCCCAAGAGAAAAGTGCCCAGGGGCTGGAGCCATAGGACAGTGGGGAGGGCGCGGTCTTGCAAGTGGTTGGCACTTCAACCCCAGTATCCCATAGGGTTCCCTGAGCCCCGCCCGGAGTGATTCCTGAGTGCAGATCTAGAGCTAGGGGTGACAACTAAGCACTGCAGGGGTGGCCCAAACCAGAGAGAGAGAGAGAGAGAGAGAGAGAGAGAGAGAGAGAGAGAGAGAGAGAGAGAGAGAGAAGAGAGAGAGAAGAGAGAGAGAGGAAAGAGAACAGTGCCCTTGGAAGATTCCAGTGCCCATCAGCCCCGTCTGCCTCTGGGTTCAAAGCCATCCCTGGACCTCGGGTCAAGACCAATTCTGACCAGTCCACAGTGGGGCCTCCAGGCAGGTTCAGCCGCCTGAGCTCAGTCGGACATCATTGCCCCCTGCCCCACCTGGGCCAGGCAGCAGAGCCGCAGAGACTTGAGTGAGGTGGCGGTGCCGTGCCCAGGCAGGGTGAGACTGCGGCTTCCTGCACGGGGACACTGACCCGCGTGTCCTCCCTGCCCAGAGGATCTTGAAGACGATGATGGCGGCGATGAGGATGAAGTGGACATAGACCCAGACTCTGAGGATGCCAGAGAAGAAGTAGGTCCCAGCCCTCCCCCCTGCAGTCCCCTCCCAGGGGAACCATCCTCCTGGCCTTTGGCTGGGGCCTCCCCCAGTTTCCTGCACAGAGGGGCCTGTAGCCCTCAGCCTGTGTCCATCTGAGCTGTCACACCCAGCGTGCCAGGCCGAGGGCACGGTCATATGAAATCCCAGGGGGACACCCCAGCACTGCTATTCCAGCCTGTGAGCCCCGGGGGGCTCCACAGGGGCCAGAGAGTGTCCTGGGTGTCCGCCCTGCTGCTCTGTCAGCCTCTCCCTTGGCGGCTCCACCCACTCCCGAGTTCCTGCTTCCTTCTGAGCCTGACTCACTGCGGACTCCACTTCTGCCCCAGTGCCCAAGTGTGGGGCCGGGCAGGCGGCTGCTGGCTTTCAGACCGCAGGCAGGTGGACACGGCCAGTCGGAGTCTGCACCCGGTGCTGGACCTCTGGGGGACGACTCTGTGTGTGGTTGAGTGGAGCAGCGCCCAGCCCCCATCCACCTCTTCATCCCAGCTGGAATCAGCTGTTGGTCCACCACGTGCCCCCAAGGACAAAATTCCCCCCGGCCCTGCTGCCCAGCCTCCTGCTAAACCGTGGTTTGCTTGTGGTTCTGTGCGGGGACACACGGGGACCAGCCGTTTCCGATGGCCTCTGATAAGTCTGGGACAAAATGAGACGGGAGCAACACCAGGTCCAGAATCCCCAGCTCTGCCGGCCAGAGCGAAGCCCACTGTCCACCCAACCAGGTCCCGTCCCCCCCTCATACCCGCCGTCTCTCGGATCAGAGATGCCTTGTTCTCCATCCACCTGTGTCCACCGACATCTGTCTTGGATGCATGGATCTGTCTGAGTCGATCCATTCATCTGATTACACCTTCCCACTCTCCGAGTCACGCGTGCGTCTCTGCCTGCAGATGAACTGCTCTGCGATGAGCCCGGCTCCCCTCTGTACTGCCGTTTGCTGACCCCTGCCCACCCCAGCTCTCTGGCTGATCACCCACCACCGCTCCTTCCCGCTCATTTCCTACCCACACAGCCTTCCTCTCACCTCCCGCCCTCCTTGGCTCCTTTCTTCGCTCCTCTTCTCCCTTCCCCGCTCTCCAGACGAAGGCTCCGTGTCTCCATCATACTAATCACGCACCTTGCCAACAGCCTGGCAGACGGGCGGGCCCCCCTCTTCGCCGGGGCTCAGCCTGACGCCGCTATTGACCCTCCGGCGTTCTCGGGCCTTCGCTGATAAATAGAATCATTTCGGAAGCCATCAGTAGCAAATTGGTTCTTTGCGGTGACTAGGAGCGGCAGAATTATTTGAATAACACCATGGCTTCGCGGCCGTCCATCACTCTCCCTCTGCCCCTGCCGGTGCCCGCTCGCTGATAACCCAGTGTCTGCACACTGGCCGCTGCACGCTGGTGCCTGGCTCCCCATGGTATGTCGGGGGGCCACTTTCCGGCTTGTTCATGACTGGATGAGAAGCCAAGAAAGGCCGGGGTGAAGCCTCGGCTCAACGGCAGGTCCCCGTGCCCGGGTGCAGAAGGAACCCGGGCCTTGTGGTTTGATATGGTAGGGACTGGGCATGCCTTGCTGGGGAGGGCTGGTTTTTGGAAACTGTCAAGAGCAGGACAAGGAGAGGAACTGGCGTTTCTGAGAGTCCAAGTTTGTTAGATTTGGAGAAATGGACACGGGGCTGTAAACAGAGACCGTGGACTCCCCCCTCCTCCCCTTGCTCCTCCCCCCTCCCATCCCCACCTCACCTCTGCTCCACTCAGTGCCCAGGGGGGATGCTGGGAGCCACCCTCCTGAGCCTTGTACCTCTGGTGTTCTCATCCCTGACTCATTTGGGGGAAGGCCAGAATCTGAGGCCTGGGGGGACAGACAGCATCCCTGGGAGCGGGACCCAATGCCCCGAGGGGTCACACTGGCAGGAATTGATGAGATGGAGATGGGCTTCACCCCTGGCTGGTGGACCAGAGTCCATCTGCCTTCACCCGCAGTGTCTCACCTGTAGGCACACACTTGGCAAGGCTCATGTCATCTTTTTTTTTTTTTTTTCTTTTTGGGTCACACCCGGCGATGCACAGGGGTTACATCTGGCTTTGCACTCAGGAATTACTCCTGGCGGTGCTCAGGGAACCATATGGGATGCTGGGAATCGAACCCGGGTCAGCCGCGTGCATGGTAAATGCCCTCCCCGCTGTGCTATGGCTCCAGCCCCAGGCTCATGTCACATTACGAATCATCGTTTACCTGTGATGAGTGCCTGGGCACAAGCATTCATTCCCAGAAAAGACATCTGTCCATGTACTTTTCACTGAAAAACAAAAACGGGAACAGACGTGATGTGGCTGGCCCTAGGCTGGGGACGAGGACGCCCCGTCGGACACTGAGCTCTGTGTCTGGGGTGCTATCCGGCCTCTGTCCGTTCCCTTGCAGGATGATGACTTGGAAACTGATGTGAGGAGGCTGAGCACTGAGCCGGCTCTGGACCGACCTGAGGAGGAGCTGGAGCAGTACGCCGCCCTGTGCCCTGAGCTCTCCTGCGGCTTCGAGGTAGGACCGATGCTGGGTCCCCTCCTGCGGGGGCAGCTGACGGCTTCAGCCAGCACTTCTCCAGTCTCTCGGCTCAGAGGAGCAGGAACTGAGAAGTGTGGGTGAGGGGATGCAGCTAGGTACGCGGGGCCCTGAATCGGGCCCAGGAGGGGCTGTCCTTGTCCTGGTGTCCAGGGAATGTCCTGGGGGGCTTCCTTGCTCCTCCCCAGAGAGAGACCCACGTCCTGGGCCACGCACCCCTTAGATGCTTTGCTCCTGGGGCAGGCGGAGATTCTTTGTCCCGGACTCAGTGCCGATAACCCAGGCCGCTCCCTCTGTGGGAAGCCTGCACCGCTGCAGTTTCCTTCTAGAAAAATCCGTCCCGAGACCCTTCCTTGTGATTTGGCCCAGCTGGACCTGCTGCCCCCAAGACTTCAGACATGTCTGTGGATCCTGATTATTTCCTGGGGGTCCCTGAGCAGCCCCGACCGTGGCTGGCCCTGGGTCCGGGAGGAGCCCCAGGGGAGGGGTCTCTGGGGAGCAGACCCCAGGGGAGGGGTCTCGGGAGGATCTGAAGAAGGAGGCTGTCCTTAAGCACAGGAATTCTGGTCAGCTGTCAGAGTGACCTAAGGCGAGCTCAGGACCTGGGTCCAGTGAGAGCCGTTGGGGGGCTGGGCCCCTCTTGGCTGTGGCTCAAGGGCATGGGGTTCCCATGCACCTGTCAGCTGGTGCCACCCCACCAGGCCCCCTCAAATCCCTCCCCAACGTGGCCCAGCCATTCTCTTGCTTATGTGGTGTTTTTTTCCCTTTTTGGTTTTTGAGCCTCGCCTGGCAGTGCTCAGGGCATACTCCTGGCGGGGCTTGGGAGGCCCTGGGAGGTACGGGGTGGAGTTGGCACTGGGGCCCCATCAGAGATTCCGCAGCTGCAGCTGCCCTGGGCCCCGAAGGAGAAAGGAGCAGCAACGTGGCAAACTCCTGTTCCTTCCCCAGGAGCTGCTGCCTACACGTGGGGTCGGCTGGGACTGCCCCAAGGGCCGGTGCGCCCAGGACCCCAGCACTGGCGGGGAGCAGAGAGGAGGCAGGGTGCAGACTCCGCTTCTGGGTGCGGGGCCATCGGGGCGAGGCGCTGCGTGCCTGGCCTCCGGGAGGAGATCCACGGCCACGCCAAGCGGCACCACACAGCCTGACGGGCGTGGGACAGACGCGCCTAGGAAGGAGGCCCCCAACATGTGGGTTCCCCTCAGAGGGGACGCTTGGGACCTGAGTGCTGGGACCACGCCACCCGTGCTGGAAGAGCTCCTGCAGACGCAGCACCTGCGGACCCCCTTCCACGACCCCCGACTCTATGTGTGTAAAGCCAGGAGCACCCGCTCTGTGGCCAACTTCCAGCGGATGGCATTTCCTGACGTGTGGGGCCACTGGCCACTGCCGGCTGCCCAGGCCATGTTGGAGCGCAGACGTGGCGTCCAGAGGTTAGCGGGGCCGGCTCGGGGGCTGCCCTTTCCCCTCTCCTTGTGTCTCAGAGACACTCCACTGCCCCAGCATCCCCCCTCCCCATCTCAACTTGGGGAACCCTCCCGGTCACCCACCCAGAACCACTGCGAGTTCCTCGTCCCCCAAGCTCTTGACGAAGTGGCCTTTGAGACAAGAATCTCGGAGACGTGCCCAGCTCCTCTGCTGTTCACGGAGGGCGAGGAGGGAGGGGGGAGGAGGGGGAGGAGGGGGAGGAGGGGGAGGGGGAGATGGAGAGCAGGGAGGGAGGAGAAAGGGAGGCAAGCAGGAGGAGGGGGAGGAGGAGGCAGGGGGAGAGGGAAGGGAGGGGAGGGGAGGAAGAAGCAGGGGAGGAGGCAGGGGAGGAGAGGGTCGATGAGGGGCGGGGGCGCAGGGGCGAGGTGTCCCGCAGGCGGGCTGCAGCCAGGGCTCCTCTCCACAGGGGCCGGATACTGGAGGACGTGCGGAGACTCCTTCAGCCCGGAGACATCCTCAACCACGTGGTCTTCAGCCTTGACGAGCCTCGGTGGGTGGCCCCCAGCTCTGGGACCTGGCCCATTCTGCCCCCCAGGAACGGGGTCCTGTTTCTGGGCTGGCTGGCTGGCCAGGCTCATCCCCACTCTGCCCTCTCTCGCCCTCCCAGGCCCCCCAGTGTGGCCGCCGGAGCTCTGCACTTCTTCTCGGGGTTCGAGTCGGGAAACCTCCGCAAGGCCATCCGGGTGCGCGAGTACGTGCGGGTCACGGGGAGAACCCCCTCCTCAGTGACCTGTCCCCTTGGGTGCCTGCATGGGTGGGGCAGTGTGGGAAATGCACCCTGGGAGGCTGGGGGTGACCACTGGACACGGCCCAGAGTGATGATCCTGTTGGAGGGTGACGGGGTCCAGGTGTGGACCCCAACATAGAGCAGGAGCCAGGTGGGGGCAGTTCAGCATGTCCTGTGTGACCCCAAGCCCCTGCTCTTGCCCCTGCCCTGCAGGTTTGAGTACGACCTGCTGGTGAACCCGGATGTGAACAGCACCCAGCACCAGCAGTGGTTCTACTTCCGGGTCAGTGGCATGCAGGCGGCCGTGTGCTACCGTTTCAACATCCTCAACTGTGAAAAGCCCAACAGCCAGTTCAACTACGGTAGGCGCTGCCTCGGGGGGCCCCCTGTGTCCTGGGGCGCCACCCACCCACTGCACCCTGACCCCAGACCCCACCTGGGCCGGGAGCCCCAGGTCAGGACACCCCGAGTCCCCTGGGACAGCTGCTTCATGAGGGACTGTCAGAGGCCCCTGCCTCCAAGTCCAGGAAGCCTGTTGCGTGTCCTGCCTCTGGGGGCAGCTAATGTCCACTCTGTGTGGCCTGGGGGCCGTTGCTGCTCCACAGGCCTGGGCCCCTCCCGCCCAGCCGCCCCCGGGCTCCCCGGCTTCAGATGCCCCGTAATCGGGCCCTCTGGCACAGCCCAGCACCGCTCCCTGGGGAGTTTGACTCAGAAGGACCCTGACCTCCCTCTCCCACAGGGATGCAGCCCACCCTCTTCTCAGTGAAGGAGGCCCTCCAGGGCAGACCCTCCTGGACCCGGGCGGGGGACGAGATCTGCTACTACAAGTAAGTGGCAGGGGCCGGGGCCACCGCACAGCGGGGAAGGGGTTTGCGTACAGGGGTCCATCCCCCACACCCAAAGGGTCTCCTGAGCATTGCCAGGAAATACCCCTGAGCACCTCTGGGTGCGACCCAAAGAGCAAACAAACACAAAAACCCGAAACAAGCAGCAGGCCCTTCCCTCCCCGCTGGCCCCTTCCCCCCCTACCAGGCTCCCCGCCCCCCTGCTCTGTCCCCAGATCAGCTGCTCTCTTCTCCCCTGGGTCCACCCACGGGAGCACAGGTCTCAGAGCCGAGCTTGGTATCCCCAAACGCCCTGACCGTGATCGCCCCTGGGAATCCGGATGCTGTGGGCACCAGCTGAGCTCACACGCCACCTGCTGAGCTTGGTCTGTCGGCCTTTGTACGCATGCCCGGGAGATATTGCGCTGTGTCCCCAGTCAGCTGGGACTGGCGGGTCGGGCACAGGAGTGGTTCCTTGGCAGCCTGGCAAGGACTCCTCAGCAAATCCTAGGTGGGGCCAGGGCAGTGATGCACTGGAGAGGGTGCTGGCCTCGCACGCCACAGTGCTGGGTTCGATCCCGGCACCCCCAGCCCTCAGTGCAGAGCTAGGATAAGGCCTGAGCACCACCGGGTGCGACCCCCAAACCAAACAACAGTAAAAACCAGCCAAAGCCAGGAGGAGCGCCCCCAAATTATCCTCCCATCCATCATCAGCGGCTGGGCTCACCCATTTGACTCAGTTATCACGAAATTTAAATTACCCATATCTTAGGGTAAAAAAAAGATCAGATTTCGGTCCCACGACTTACTGAAGCGAGCAAAATTTCCTTCAAAATCAAATTTGAAATTTGTCATAAAGAAAAAAAAAATGAAGCACCCACCATGGCGGGGGCTGCTGGTGGAGCAGGAGACGGTGCCTTCGCCCCAGCGCCCAGAGATGAGCCCTCTCAGTCTCTCTCTGAGATCACGCAAGGCCCCGTGCTCGAAAAAGACATCGCCAGGGGTTCCGGGGCTCAGTGCTCTCTCTCTCCCATCTGCCGGAGGGCAAGCACAGGCTCCGGCACTTCTGGTTCCCAGTCAGGGTGGAGGAGCTGGGACCCACGTCCTGTCAGCCTCAGAGGCTCGGACCACTACCCATGGGAGGTCAGTGTGGGTGGGTGGGCTGACAGTGGCCATGTGAAGCTGCCGGCCCCGGACTCTGGGACTCAGACACGAACCCAGAGAGCAGTTTCATTCCTCTCTTTGGCCTGTTGCTTTCTCATTTCACCTCCTGGGCCGTCTGCTCCTGTCCACTTCTCCAGAGACCCTCGGGTGTTTCAGGAGCCGAAGAAATTAGACTGAAAATCACCTGCAGGGGGGCTGGAGAGATAGCACAGCGGGGAGGGCGTTTGCCTTGCACGCATCCGACCCGGGTTCGATTCCCAGCATCCCATATGGTCCCCTGAGCACCGCCAGGAGTAACTCCTGAGTGCAGAGCCAGGAGTAACCCTTGTGCATCGCCAGGTGTGACCCAAAAAGAAAAAAAGAAAAGAAAAAAAATCACCTGCAGGGATTTCCACCCATAGGGGGGAAAAAAAACACCAGAAAATCCCGCATTTAAACTTGGCGTGTCTAGAAGCACTTGGTCTACAGCAGGGAGGGCATTTGCCAGGCACGCAACCTGCCTGGGCTCGATCCCTAACATCCCACAGGGTCTCCTGAGCACCCAGGAGTGACTCCTGAACGCAGAGCCAGGAGTAACACCTGAGCATCTTTGTATGACCCAACAAGAAAAAAAATAAAGTAGATGCAGCACTTAATCCTCTGAAGGTGGGAATGGGGTCTAGGGGAAGGCTGAAGGGGCAGCAGGAAGGGCCTGGGGCCTGGTAAGAACCAGGGTGGATGGCATATTAGTTTCCCCCTGCAGAGCGCTCCTCTGGGGGCGGAGGAATAAGTGGTCCGAGAGCTGCCTCAAGGCCTGTGGGATTGGCCAAAGGAAAGCCCCGCCCACGATGCACTAGCTGTGCCTGCAGGTTCCTTATTAAGATAAGTGTCTGTATGTAAGAGAAACAGAGGGACAGGGGAATGCACCCCTGGGGGACCAGTGATGCAGGACACAGACGCAGGGGCTGAGTTCGTCTCAGATCCCTGTGGCAGGGCTGCCTCTGCCTGCTCAGTCGCAGGGCAGAACGCTGCTCCCGAACTGAAGCGCCCCCAGCCAAACCATGCAGTTCCTATTTTTTTCTTTTTTTAAATCCGCCCCATCTTTGAGCTCATCCATTGGGTGAGACTTTGGTGATACTCATTTGGGAGAACTCTTCCCCCCCCACCAAAAAAAAAAAGAAAAACAACTCAACCATAAGATGGATTTTTTTATTTAGAAACAAGTTGATCTTTCTAACAAGATTAGACCTTAAAAATTTTAAACTTTAGTGGAGTTCATGTGTAATTCAACCAGCCTAATCAATGGCTGAATAAATAGCAAAACTTCTACATTAAAATCACTGTCACTGTCACTGTCCTCCCCTTGTTCATCGATTTGCTCAAGTGGGCCCAGTAACGTCTCCATTGTGACACTTGTTACTGTGTTTGGCATATCGGATATGTCATGGATAGCTTGCCGGGCTTTGCCATGTGGGCGAGATACTCTGGGTAACTTGCCAGGCTCTCCGAGAGGGGCGGAGTATTCGAATCTGGGTCAGACATTAAAAAAAATTTTTTTTAAACTTTATTAAGCCTTAAAAAAGTATGTCAAGTGACACGTTTGAATAGTGCTAAGGTTTGTGAGAGACACCAAGGTTCTGTGCCCCAGCTTTGGGGGTCTTATGTGATTGAGAATGGAGAGAAATGTGGCTGTGAATTTTTTCTCTCTTCCCCACCTGAATCACTGGGATGTGTCCGGCCTGTCGGGGACCCACGAGGGTCTGTGAGGAGACCCTGCCTGCAAAGACCTCACGTCTCTCCAGCCCCACGAGGCACTGTCCAACCGCACCTGGGTCCCACTTCTTCTGCCGGGCGTGAGGGTGGCCCCTGCCCGGGCTGGGCGAGGAGTTGCCCTCTCTCTTTCCATTGGATCTAGAGTTATTGGGGAGGGGACGGCCAGAGTGGGGGCTCCAGGACATCCGTCAGCACGGGGAGATGAACAGGGACCTCCCGGGCGGGGCCGTGTAGGGGAGGACGTCAGGCAGCCCGGCTGCGCTCTCTGCTTTATGAGACCCTGTTAAGCGCAGTGATGGGGCCTTGTTAGACGCAAAACCGCCCTCATTAGGGCTCTTGGCGCCTGCTCACCCCGGCGCTCGCGGATTCCGAGCACACACAGGAAGAGAGAATCGCCTCCCGGCGGGAATGTACGTGCAGATGGAAGTAGATTGATGCTGTGACGAGTGCTCGTGTTCTCTGCTCTGTGCTCCCCCACAGCCGGGGCCAGGCGTTGTGGACAGGCAGCGCAGCCGGGTTCGATCCCCGAGACCCAGAGCCGCCCTCCCCCCCCCACCCCGAGCCCACCAGGAGTGGTTCCTGAGCACAGAGCTAGGGGCGGGGCTGCTCAGTACAGAGCTGGCGGGGAGGCTCGGCCATCGTCCCCAGGCCCCTGGGTGTGGGCTGCGCCGGCCCTGACCTCCTCCTGCTTCTCTTGCAGGAACCATTACCACCGGAGCGCCTCCTCGGCCTACTACACGCTCACCTTCACTGTCTCCTTCCCCCACGAAGACGACGCCTGCTACCTAGCCTTCCACTCCCCCTACACCTACTCGGCCCTCATGGTAACTCGGGCAGCGGGCAGTGCTCTGGGACGGTCCTGGGGTGGCTACTGGTCCCGACTCCTTTCCTGGCTGAGCTCGGGCCCAGACCTGATGGAGGCTTTCGGGGCGGGGGATCACCTACCTGGTCCCCTCTTGGGGAATCTATTCCCAGCTGCTTTAGTCGGTGTCTTTCTACTTGTACTGGTGTGGTGCATAGCTTTGCCCAGGCTTCCTGCGTGTCCAGCATGGACGGCAGGGCCTGGGGCCAGCAGCCAAGCCCCCTCCACTCTCCTCACCGGCCCCATCGCCCTCCCCTCCCCTCCTGCGAGTTTGGTTCTGTTTTGTGTTTGGGTCACACCTGGTGGTGCTCAGGGCTGACTCCTGGCTCTGCACTCAGATTATTCCTGGTGGTGCTCAGGGGGCCCTATGGGATGCCGTGCGAGGCCAGCGCCTCCCTCCCCGCCCCGGCCCCCTACCCCCCACTGGGCTGTGCCTCCTAGCCTGCCCCTTCCCCACTGAAAACCACACGTTTGTCTGGTTACTTTGCTTTAATTTCATTGACCTATTTTTGCTCTTTATTTTCATTTATTTGTTTTTAAGTTTGAGTTTGATTTAGTTGCATGGTCATCATATCATGGAAGTGGATAGGACGGAGGTCCAAGTCACTGCATGCCTCACCCTGATGCCCAGATCCTCATGTCCCCTCTAGCCCACATTTTCCTGGCCTCCCCGGTCTTCCTATGCTTCCATCCGTGCTGCAGTGGGCTCTGGGCCTCTGCTACCCTCAGAGATGTCCACAGCCAACACAGACCTGTCGCCAGACAGGGGGCTATTCCCACGTGGCTGTCACCAGACAGGGGCTGTTCCCACGTGGCTGTCACCAGACAGGGGCTGTTCCCACATGGCTGTCACCAGACAGGGGCTGTTCCCACGTGGCTGTCACCAGACAGGGGCTGTTCCCACGTGGCTGTCACCAGACAGGGGCTGTTCCTACGTGGCTGTCACCAGTTAGGGAACTGTTCCCATGTGGCTGTTGCTGGACAGGGAGCGGTTCTCACGTGGCTGATCTCAATCAGCTGTCGTCTAACTGCTGCTGTCATCATGGGCTGTGTGTGTCTGTCCCAGGTGACATGTTTGGGGTGGGTTAGTCAAGCAGTGGAATCCTTGGGGGCAGGTACAAATCTACTTTTCAGAGAGATCCACTTCGTGTGCTCTGTGCCATCGAGGCCTCACTTCCCTGGAAGGCTTCACTGCCCTACTGGTGCGTGGTAGGCATTTGTCCTGTTGGTGGCCAGTCACATCCCGCCGTGTGTGTGATCCCGTCTTCTCCGCACCCTCATCCTCGGGGGCCATGCGGGAGTCCAGGGACTGAGGGAGTTCTTGTCCCACACTGCCCTGCCCTCGCCAGGGCCATGCAGGTACAGATGCAGATTGCTCTGCGCAGAGACACTGCCAGCTCACAAGGGGCATCTCTCCCTCCACCCGCAGTGCTGCCTGCAGGGAGGTCTGGGAGACTCAAGTGCTTCCTGTCACACCGGGAGCTCTTGGCAGGAGACCCAACAGATATGCATTTCGAATGTCATTCCATATCGTACCAGAACACGCAAGCTGTCTTCAGGGAGTTTTAGCAGGAGGGACTCACGAACCTCTTCCACAGAGGTTTTCACAGCCACCCCTGTGAAGCACCATCTGTGGGCCATCCACTGGAGACCCTTGCTGGGATATGTATGTGTGGCTCCCTCTGGGAGGGCTCGTTCTAGATACTGAGTGTCTGAGACTGTGTGGTGACTCTCTGAGATCAGGGGGGACATTAGCACCCGAAGGGGTTTGGACAACGCTTGGATTGGTATAAGGCAATAGTCGAGGCTGTGAAAACCCATCCCTGGTGGCAGGCTGAGCCCAGACATGGTGCAACCCCATCCTTTCCAGAAACCATGGGTGAACACAGTGGTTGGGGTGCAGACCCCGTGCCTGCCCCCCCACCTCTGCTCACCATCATTCCTGGGACATCTCCGAGAGCTGAGTCTGAAACCCCCTCCTGAATTTCCAGCCACAATGCTGAGTAGCCTGGGTGTGGCTTGGCAGAAGGCCACCAGACGTGTCCTATTCTGTCTGAGATATTCCAGTGAGTCTGTGCAGCTGCAAAATCATGTCCTGCACGTCCAGCAAGAAGCTGTGGCCAGGATGGCTCGGCCCCTGGAGCTGCAGCCTGTGGGCAGCCGGTGGCCACTCTTTGTCCATAGCCATCGCCGGGAGGCCATGTGGAACAGGACAGTGTGTGTTGGGTCTCTTAGATGTTGCTGCTCATTTCTCTGGGGTCCACTCAGTCTTGCGACCAGAGCACAGAACCCAGAGCCTGCGGCCATTCACTAGCTTAGGAGAAATGGGGAGATATTTCCCCATTTGCTGGGGAACCAGCACCAGGCACCAGGCACGAGCATGCAGCCGCATCTCCCGTCACTCGGCTCCTGGCGGGGAGGGAGAGATGATTTCAAGTGACCCCGGTTATTGGCTCGTTACTCACAGAACATGCCGAGAAAGACTTGGCGGTGAGGAACGCAGAGACGTGAGGAGCGTGAGCTCAGCGGGCCGCGAGCTCTGGGCTTCCTCAGGCAACAGCCCTCCTTCCCGGCCACGAGGGGGACGGAGCCCGTGGCCCCCATGTGCGCTGGCCACTCTGCATTTTGGACCCGTCCTAAGGAGAAACAGTTTTCCTTCCAACGAATCCGTGATAAATTAAATGTGAATGATACCCCGAGGGCAGAATTAACTGTGTTACTTGGGGTTTAGGTCGAGGGGTGGAAAAGACATTTGGACCTGGAATTCACAATTTGTAAATCGCTGGTAGGATGGATTCTGTTAACGATCACAGACTTCGCTAGCAGAGGACATGTATGTTGGATACTTTTCAACATGAGTAAGGCTTTGCAACTTAAAAAATTGTATTATTCTCTCCTAATAAGAGAATTAGCGTTCTGTGTTTTCAAATTGATGTCTTCCAGATGCTTGCTGGGAACTCTGTCGGATAATTGTCCAAATTATAGCATTAAAATAAAGCTAAAAGGCAGGAATACAATATTATCGCAATTATGGAGCAAACACAAGGAGTTTTCTCTTTTATCATCCTTATCGAGCCATCAATAACCACGGCGATGGTGAAAGTGTGCCCACAGTCTGGGTTGAAGCATGGGTTTGTCTCGACAGTCACTCTGAGCTTCCCCACCCTGAGTGGGGTCCCGAGATCGGAGTTTCTGAAGGATCGTTTAGTGGGCGAGGCAGTGGGACCTCGCTGGGAAGTGGCCACTGCGGGTACCAGCAGGAGGGAGGGGAAAGTGGTGGTCATCAGCCCTGTCCATGTGCCAGGGAGCCGGGAAGGGGCAAACAGGAGTTCAGAGTGCAGGGTGCTGTGGAGAGGGGCCGGAGGGCGTGGAGAGGGAAGCGGTCATTCACTGCCCCGTGCGTTCTCGTGTGGGGTGCGAATCAGCACGCTCCAGTGGGAAACACGGCCTCAGCGGTCCGAGAGGCCAGGGGTCAGGCACACGCACAGTGACCAGCTCGGCCCAGGCAGAGAACCACCCTGGGGAAGGAGCCGGCGAGGGGTAGGACGAGTCAACAGTCACAGGAGTCTGAATTCCAGGGTGCCCGGCTGGACGTGACTCGGCTCTTGTTTCTTACCTGGTGGCGTGGCCCAGACCGGCGTGGCCAGAGGCCGCATCCCGCACCCCCGCAGGCTCCCCTCTGCCATTGACCCCTCAAACGCCATCACAAAATGGGTGTTTGGGGAGAGCCGTGGCTGTCCTGCTGCTGGGAAGCCCGGGTAGGAGCTGGCTAGGAGCAGGCGGGGACTCAGAGCAGGTGTTCTGCCCCGGAGCTGAGCGCTTGCCCAATGGGCTCGCCAGAGGGATGGACCCATTCCACAAGGAATCATAAAACTATGATCATGTTTAAGAGGAACACGAACAAGAAAACAGGGCCAAAGACGCAGTCCAGAGGGAGGGCGCTCACCTTCCATGCAGTCAACCGGGGTTCAATCCCCAGCATCCTGTAGGGACTCCCCGAATCCCACCAGGAGTGATTCCTGAGCACAGAACCAGGAGTCATCCCTGAGCACTGCCAGCTGTAGCCCCAGACCACCCTACACACTCCCCTGGAAAAAAATCAAACAAACCCTGGATATGCCATAGCCGTGCCAGGCTGTTTCACCTGAGGCAACCCAGAGGGGGTTGGCTAAGGCCCCTCCCTGCCCCAGTGGAGTCAGCCCTGCAGCCAAACTCAACTTCCAGAACTCACCTGCCGCCATGCTCATGGCCACTCTCCACACACTCAGGCTGGGCCTCACCCACAAGGGAGTTTATTCCTGGACATCTCATACTTTACACCCCCAATATTCCAAGAGTAGTACACCATGTTCGATGGGGTTTAAAGTAGAAGGCAGGCAATTTTAGGGGAAAATACATTTATACAGACATCTATCTATCTAAGGACTGGAGCGATAGCACAGCGGGTAGGGCGTTCGCCTTACACGTGGCCAACATGGCCGACCCGAGTTCGATTCCTCCGCCCCTCTCGGAGAGCCCGGCAAGCTACCGAGAGTATTCGATATGCCAGACACAGTAACAACAAAGTCTCCAATGGAGACGTTACTGGGCCCGCTCGAGCAAATCGACGATCAACGGGAGGGCCTTTCCCTTTACCTTTATCTATCTATCTATCTATCATCTATCTATCGATATAAGCTCAAGCTTTAACAACATGTTACTAATCTCTTATAGAAGGGCTTTATGGCTCCTCGGTGAGATGCAACAATCTTCACCCACTTTCCTCTAAAGAACTTTTTTGGGATCATTTTAGCGGATCATTCATAACATGCAATACAAAATAAATTATTTTGGTTCTGCTTTGGGGATGGGGTTTGGAGTTCGGGAAGGAAATATGGTGGTAGGAAGGTTTTGTAATGGTGATGGGATTGGTGTTCGAATATTAAATGTAATCAAATACTATGAACAACTTTATAAAAATAAAATTAAAAATTAACAAAACACCCCCCACGCCAGCTGTTGATGATAGAGGAGGCACTGAAGTAGCGTTGCTGGCCCTTCTCTGGCCATCTCCCCTTCCCACCTAAGTTTCCTCCCTGGGCCCCCTCCACCCCTGCTCTGCTGGTTGGCTTCCAGCTCTGGTGCAGTGACCCCTCTCATTGATTTCCATGTGGTCACCAGTTGAGAGGTGCTGGTTAGGGGTCCCCTCCTAACCCACCTTTAGTGACATGCATTGGCCATTGACTTCCTTCTGGGGTTTCCCACGAACTGCTTCAGAAGGCCACTGGGCTGTGTCCTAAACGCTCGATTTCGGCTGTTGTAAAAATCCATCTTTATGGATGTCTTACTTCACTCAGTTGTCGGAAAATACAGTTCATCCTATTTCCACTTCTAGAGTCAGGGAGGGAGACCGGTGAAATTTTTGATGGCTCGGGATATGATTAATTTTTGTTACACTTCCAGGGGATGCTGAGACAAAAAATGAAGGATGTTCTCTGTATGAAGTTTGACACACACTGATAAAAACAATATTGTTCAAATACTCTCCATCATTATTTTTACACAACTGATTTATTTAAGGCAGAGGCACTGTCTTCAACTCTTTCTCTCTGAGTCCATTATTGCACCCTCTCCCATGTATATTTCTATCCTGTGTTATTTGATTCTTAAGATTTATGAGTTTTATATGCTCATTGTGAATTGTGCCCTTTATCATAATAAGATTTTTAAGTCCCATTTAATGCACTTGGTCTTGAATATGATTTTGTCATATATTACGGTATTACTGTTGCCATGCCTATATAATTTATGTTTGCTTATCCTTTTAGTTTCAATATTTCTCTTTTTGAATTATCTTAGTAGCAGCAAACAAAATAAAGGGGTAATTTAGGAGTATTTTCCCTACACGCCATGTTGTTTTTGCTCTTTAACGACTCCAGACAGACAACATGTAGCAGGGTTTCAAAGTTTTCATCATTTATCAAGGCGGATGAATCTGTTCTATACTTCTAATTTTTGTCATCTGCTTTTGCTATATTTCTCCCTCTCTCCCTCCTTCGTTTCTTTTTCCCTTGGGAAACATGAACAGACCAGGCTTTCCCCTCCCTCCACTCCCCACCACACACCAATTTATAATTCTATGAGTGACCCCTTTTCAGTCCTTAAAATGCACATTCTGGGGCCTGCATGATAGCACAGGGGGCAGCTTTCCTTGCACACGGCTGACCAGGGTTTTATCCCTGGCATTCCATGTGGTTCCCTGAGCCTTCCAGGAGTGATCCCTGAACGCAGTGCCAGGAATCAGCAATTAAGCATCACTTGATGTGGCCCTAAAACCAGACCGAAGACCCCCTTACCCCTGCAACCTGCATTTTTTGATCAACAGCAATGCTGGAACTGAGAGTTCCCTGTGGGATAGGATTCCCTAGTCTGCAGGGCTAGCTTAGGGGGAGGAGGTGATGTTTTCACCAGAATCTCAGGGAAGTGAGGTGCAGGCTTCATATTTTCCAGCCCTCAGCCCAACTTGAACCTGGGCAGATGGACCCAAGGGCCCAGCGGCTCAGGCCTGTGGGGTGACCACCCTGAGGAGAGCTAAGTAGGTTGTGGAGAATTGGGCACCAGTAAAAGGTTTCCAAACATGTAGGGCCAGAAATTCACCGAAGCTCAACCAGATTGCAGACCCGAGGCCTTCGGAGAGCGCACCCCGGCCTCATAGGGATGTTCAGGCGCATGGAGACCCTCCACTCCCAGATCCGGTGAGACCGTGTTCTGGTGTCTGTGGAAGCTGGAAGCCCGAATGTTCTAATGGACCCTCGTTTCCCCAACTCTTCTCTCTTGGATGACCAACAGCATGCTTCTCTCTTAAAGATGATTTCTTTGTATTTCTATCAAGTAGTAACCGTATGTTCCTCATTATCTAGACCTAGAATTGTTTAACCGGAGCTCATTCTCATTGTTTGTCTGGGGGCAGCGGGCAGGTGTTTTCAGTCACATTGGTGAAAGGATGAGTCCTGGACACTTGCAAATCTGGGCATGTCCGAGCATTTGCTCTGAGTGTGCCCTGGGGGCGTACCCTTTTCTCCCTCTTCCCTGCTGGCACCTGTGGTGAGATGGAAGTGCGGTCCAGAAGGTTCTTGGTGTACACACATGTCCATGAATAGCTTTGTTCACACACACATCACACACACACACATACACACACACACCGCACACACCACACACCACACATGGACCACACACTGCACAGCACACTGACATACACAGCACACTGACCCACACACATACATACCCCCCACATACACCACACACAGTACACATCACCCACATTACTCACACATCACATACCACACACATAGCACACACATCATCACATGCAAACCACCCATGTAACAGACACCGTGTACACACATACACATATAACACACATGCCATACATACCCCAAACACACTCTCCAACAATCACATCTTTCCTGGGTGCTTCTTTCCCGTTCCTCCGTTCCTCTCGCCCTGCAGTACTCAGCTGCACTCAGCTGCCCCTGTAATGTCCCAGATCCATAGCTGGAAGCTTGGCTGCAGGGTTTTGAGGGGACTGGAGCAGGTCTGAGGGGGGCGCGTGCAGAGCCCCCCAGACACCCCTGGACGGAGAGCACTGCACGGTGGTGCCTAAGGTTCTGCCCCAGGCGTGGCCCCTCAGAACCCTGAGCACTGCCAAAACGTACAGCATCAAGGGGACGAAGCTGTGCTTCCTCTCCGAGCTCTCGCCCTTGCCGGAGACAGAAGGTTCTGGTCCCTGGCAGCTGTGGCAGATTGCTGGCTGCATCCTCGAGGGGCCTCCGCTCCGTGATCTGGCCTAGAGGCACCCGAATTGCTGAGCGACCACTGTCTAGGACCCTGCCTGTGCCCCCTGCAAACACTTGCTCTGTCCCTTCCCAATGCCTGCCTGGTGTCCACTCCCTCCTCCAGATGAGGCAGCTCCACCCTGGTGGTGGGGGGTGGGGTCCCGGAGAGGGGCAACCCTCAGCCCCACCAAAGATTCCCTCCCTGGGTCTGTGTGTCGGCGCCAGGGCGCAGGGGTGGGGTGGTGCTCCTCAGCCCCCCGAGGGATCCCAGGCACTCGCCCTCTGTCTTCTGCCTGTGCCCCTGTCCCGCACCCCGAGAGGGGCCTGTCCCCTGCCACCGCCCCTGCCCGGGGACCCCGGAAGCAGAATGCAGTCTCACAATGGGTGTGAGGCCCACGTGACCACTCAGGGACTGTCCCTGGGTGTGAGTCCCTCAGGGCTCGGGGGTCTGGGGGTGTCTGTCTCACCGCCAGCCATGACCCTGATGGCCCCTCCTGCTGCTTCTCTGCCCCAGACTCACCTCGACCTCCTGGAACAAAGTGTGGACCCCAGGCAGGTCTACTTCCGGCGGGAGACGCTCTGCCGGACGCTGGGGGGAAACGCATGCCCCTTGGTGACCATCACAGCCATGCCCGAGGGAGCCCACGTGGACCAGCTCCGTGAGTACCACGGCAGGGGTGCAGCTGTCCCAGGAGTGCAGGCGTGTAGCTGCTGGGTGTGACCCGTGAGGTCAGCGACCAGGGGAGGGGAGCCTTAGAGCGGGAGCACCTGGCGGACACCCATGTTTCTTCCTCTGCTGCGAGGCCACACAGTCTTGAAGCCTGGCCCTTGGCCCCGCGTTCTGCACCCCAAACCCACCTACTGTGCAGGCAGCCAGTCTGGGAAGGGGTGGGCCCGGCACACATGCTCTGGGCAGGTTTCCACAGGGGTCGAGGGCTGACAAGGCAAGGACACACTGGGGTGCAGGCTCGGATACACAGCTCAGACACAGCTCAGACCCACAGAGGGACAAGTTCACACACACACATGGAGAGCAGACAAACAAGGCACACACAGACAGACACACACAGACATACAACACACAGCCACACACAGACAGACACATAGAGACATACAGACACACACAGACATACAACACACAGCCACACAGACACACAGAGACACACACAGACACACAGACAGATACACAGATAACACGGACACACAGACATATAACACACACAGACTCTTAACCACACACACAGACAGACACACAGAGACACAGACAGACACAGAGACACAGAGACACACAGTTACACACAGCCACACAGAGATACAGACACACAGAGACACATACAGACAGACACACAAACACACAGATATACACAGACACACACAGATATACAGACACACAGACACACAACCACACACAGACATGACAGACACACAGACACACAGAGACACACAGACACCCAGACAGACACAGAGACACACATGACACACACAGGCACACACAGATACACACATAGACACAGACACAGACAGATATACACAGACACAGATACACACAGACACAGACATAGGTACACACAGATGCACAGACGCACACAGCCACATAAATACACAGACACACAGGCACACACAGACACACAGGCACACATAGGCACATAGTTGCCTGCTTAGTGCCCTCAAGCATGAGTGTGACTTTCCTGTGTCCCACTTCCATCCTCACTTTATTCTTTCATTTCCGCATTTTATGGGGGCTCCTGGTGGTGCCCGGGGATGGCGTGGTCGCAGGGCTCAAGCCCAGGGGCTCATACTTGCATGTGCTCTGACACTGTCTTCATGGGTGGCCTCTGATCCACCAGGGGAGCCTGAAAGCAGAGTTGGTGCTGGGGGCAGACGGAGAGGAAGGGGAAGGCTGAGGGTCGGCGCGTTGCTGTACCCCCAGAGGCCGCCCCGCATCCCTGCTGCAGTGCTCACTGCCTTTAGTGAATGACCTAGCAGTGGGAAATGCAATTTCTCATGGCCCATCAGCACCCGACAATCAATGCTTGACACCCTGGCTAATCACAAGTGCTCACCATGCTGAATTAACGCGCCCAAGAATGCCGTAGTGAATAATAAAGACTCCCGAGTCCCCGTGTGCGCCGGCTGCCGTGATGACTTTCCCCAGTGCTGCGGAGCTCGGAGCCGTGGGTGGCCTGTGCTTGCCGACTGCGTGTCTAAAGAGTCTGAGACGAGCCAGTGGCTGTTGGGTGCCCCGGCGGGTGGCTGTGCCCTCTATCTGCCCCTCTGCTAGGGCAGGTCGGTGGTTGCTCGGTGCCTGACCTTGTCCCAGACAACGGAACCAGCCAAGATCCTGGGCTATGTAGCTGCCGTCTGAACTGCTTGGTTAAGCCAAGGAGCAGTGCTTCCTGCCTGCCTCGGACATGTTGGTTCTCATAGCCGCACGGTCGTGGGCAGTGCCCTGGTGGGGACTGGCTGCCTGTGGCACTCAAGTGTGCACCGTCAGTCTCCTCACTGAACCACCATCCCAGGCGTCTGGGGCCGTGAGCCGGGACACTCATTTGTGGCTCTGGCTCTTTGTCCAGTGCTCTTTTGTGACCATATGAAGTTGTGAGACAGTCTTGAAGCAGGAGCTCTGAGCTGGCATTTTTAAAAATTATTTATTTATTTATTTATTATGAGTGAAACACCATGAGGTACAGTTATAGACTTACAAATTTTGTGCTTGGGTTTCAGTTATACAGTGATCACGTGCCCATCCCTCCACCAGTGCCCGTCATCCATCACCACGGGTCCCAGCATCCCCCCCACCCCCCATCCCCCCGTCCCATCCTGCCTCTGTGGCAGGGTGTGCCCCCTTGTTCTCTCTCTCTTCTTCTGGGTACTGTGTTTTGCAAGAGAGGCTTTGAGTGGCAATCATGTTTGGTCTATAGACTACTTTTAGCATGCTTCTCCCACCCTGGGAGGGTCCTCACAACACCCTTTATTTGGTGCTCTCTTCTCTATCTGAGCCTCCTTTTCACCTAGCACGTGTGGCTGGCCTTCCAGTCACGGATCAAAATTCCTGGTACTAATCTCAGCCATTCAAGGGTGTTAGTCTCCCTTTTTGTTGCTTTATGTTCCCCAGATGAATGCACTCTTTCTGTGTCTATCCCGCTCTTTCTGACTCATTTTGCTTAACATGATACTTTCCATGTAGTACCACTTGTATGTAAATTTCATAACTTCATCTTTTCTAACAGCTACATAGTACTCCATTGTGTAAATGTACCAAAGTTTCTTTAACCAGTCATCTGTTCTTGGGCACTCAGGTTTTTTCCAGATTCTGGCTATTGTAAAGAGTGCTGCAATGAACAAACAATTGCAGATGTCACTTCGACTATACCTTTTTGCCTCTCTGGGATATATTCCCAGGAGTGATATAGCTGGGTCAAATGGCAGATCAAATTCTAATTTTTTGAGAGTCATCCATACTGTTTTCCAAAATGGTTGGACCAGCCGGCATTCCCACCAGCAGTGAAGGAGGGTCCCTTTCTCGCCACATCCACGCCAGCACCGGTTGCTTTTGTTCTTGTGGATGTGGACCAGTCTCTGTGGTGTGAAATGATATCTCATTGTGGTTTTGATCTGCATCTCTCTGATGATTAGTGATGTAGAGCATTTTCTCATGTGCCTTTTTGCCATTCGAATTTCTTCTTTGTGAAAGTTTCTGTTCATTTCCTCACCCCATTTTTTGATGGGGTTGGGTGATTTCTTCTTGTGGAGTTTAACCAGTACCTTGTATATCCTTGATATCAACCCCTTGTCAGATATGTATTTGGTGAATATCCTTTCCCATTCTGTAGGCTCTCTTTGTATTTTGGTCACTGTTTCTTTTGAGGTGCAGAAGCTTATTAGTTTAAGATAGTCCCATTTGTCTATCTCTGTTTTCACTTGCTCGGCCAGTGGCGTGACATCTTTGAAGATACCATTAGCTTCAATATCATGGAGAGTTTTGCCGACTTTGTCTTCAATAAACATTATGGATTCTGGTCTGATGTTGAGGTCATAAATCCATTTTGATCTTACTTTTGTGCATGGTGTTAGGCAGAGATCTGAGCCCACTTTTTGGCATGTAGCCGTCCAGTTTTGCCATGAGCTGGTATTTTTGCCTGGACCCTGAGTACCCATTAAAGGCCATTGAGCTGATGGTGGCCAAGGTGGGTGCCCCCAACCTACCCGGGCAGGAAGGGCCCCCGCCTCCACCCATGCCCTGCCCTGGGTCTCTGTGGGGGCAGCCAGGGCTGGGCACGCCGTGGAATGAGACAGCACCTGGCAGATTCTGGTGTCCCCGGGGTCCCTCAGGGAAAGTGGCCGACGGGATCCCCTTCCTGTCTGATCATAGCCACCTGCATCTATGAGTCTGACCCTGAACCACGTGACTTCCCCTGAACCCTCCAAACTCGTCTCTTGATTAAGACCAGAAAGACCCCCATTGTGTGGGGCTGGAGTGATAGCACAGCATCTGCTTGGATAGCACAGCGTTTGGCTGGAGTGATAGCACAGAGTGGGGCATTTGCCTTGCACGCAGCCCGACTCAGGTTCGATTCCCAGCATCCCATATGGTCCCCTGAGCACGGCCAGAAGCAATTCCTGCATGAACCAGGAGTAACCCCTGTACATCGCTGGGTGTGACCCAAAAAGAAAAAAAAAGACCCCCATTTTGGCAGGGGCCCCCATTGCCTACTTGCCTGAGGGGTGGATGCCGCTTCCATTTCTGGGTACCGTTAACTAGCTTTCGCCTGGATCTGCCTCAGCATTCGCTCACCCAGTCTGAGGACACGTCTGTGCTCAGACTTTCTTCCCTGTCTGGACAGTCCCCTGGGCACCAGCAGGAGCCAGACTGCGGGGCGGAGGACAAGCCATGGTCTTGAGATGCTCCTGGGAGCTGTGCTCCATCTGATTGGCTTTTTGGAAGTATTTTTGGTCTGAAAGCCTGTTTTCCTGAAAGAATTTCGCCTGACCTGAGAAACCGCATCTTCCTCAGCAGGAGGCACTTTGGCCAAGAGCACCCGGGCCCTGTGGAAAGCTGAGGGCACGGTGTCCTTTCACTGTGCCCAAGATGACCGTGCTGAGCCCACGCTTACCCTCACAGGCAGGTCCACAGGGGGCAGGGGCTGGTCTCCCCACCAGTGGGGATGGAACCACGGGCCACTAAGAAATGGCTCTGCTGCTTTCTGGGACTCAAATTCCATGGCCTGATCACAGCCACTAGCACACCAGAGGCCACGGAACAGGCAGGGCTTGGCAGCAGGCCCAGCCCCCAGGGAGGGTGAGTGTGCACATGGTACACATATATGAGCATGTGTGTATAGGTACATGTGTGGAAACACGCATATGGATCATGTACATGTGTATGCATGCCAAGTACATGTGTGCATACATGTGTGTGCACGTGAGTGTGCATGTTCATGTGGACGGGTGCATGTGTGCCCATGGGCTCGTACCTGTGTACATCCTTGCACTCACATGTACATACATGCGTGCATTCCCTGACATTTTGTGATTGCATGCATTCATGTGCCACGTATATGCCCTTGACTCTGCATGTGTGCTCACACCCATCTGCACACATACGTGTCCATACTTGTGCACACATGTCTGTGTGTGTGTGTGCCGGTGCATGTTGGTG